CCCCAAAACCCCAAAACCCCAAAACCCCAATGACTTGGATCTAATAATAATTCGAAAAAAAGTTCTAATATAATTTTGATTTCTTAATTATAATAAACTCGTTATTATGAATAACTTACTATATTGTGACTATTGTGCGAACCCATTTGATTAAGAATATAGAATACCTTCAATCTTACATCAATGTGGCTGCACATTCTGCAAACCATGCATAAAAGATATGATTGAGATACAGAATGTAGCTGGATGCCCCAATGATAATGAAATGATAAGCGAAAAATCTGCTGATGACTGTAGAAGAAACTAGAAAATACTGAATTTTATTAATTCTGATGATGCAGTTCCACTTCTTTTTGGAAGTTTCGAGAGTATACCATGTCCTAAGCATCCACAAAAACTAATTGAGTATTTTTGCAAGACCTGTAGTTAGTCAGTTTGCGTCAAATGCATTTACGATGATCATAATGGTCATTAGCTTATGCAGATTGAAGAAATGTGTAAGTATTTCACAGAAATATAAATATTTTGGCTTGATAAATTTATCGACATTTTATAGCAAATTCACTAAAGCAAAACGTCATTGACCTGAGGAAAATGATTGATAATACAAAGAGGCTCATTGAGGAGAACTCAAAGCTGATTGAGCAAGTAAAGGAAGAATTGGAAAGATTAATGGAATAATAATTGAATAATATCCATGAGGGATTTAGTGAACTCCAAAGAAAGCTCGAAGAAAAAAAACATGAAATTATATTTGAATTTGAAAAGTAATAATTCCATAGATTTAAAAAACCTATATAGGAAATATAAGAAGGAGGAGTAGAGATTTTTAAGTAAATAAAATTTGATACATTCTAATGCTGACGAGCTAGAAAATATTGAAAAAATTTTCGAGGAGCTGGTATAGTTTATTGAAATCAGCAATGACGCATAAATACTTCAGAAGATCTCTGATGTGACTACATTCTTGCATAAGTCTTTTACTGACTTAGATATAATCACTAAGAATCAAGTAACTTAGAAAGGAGAAATTTATATTGATCAAAACTTCAAGCCTTTATCCTTGAATGTAAGGAAGGCTATGGAAATAGTAAAAAAGTTTGAAATGGTTTGGCCTTCAATTGATCAATGAAAGCAGATCAAGCTGTTTGGAATGATGGATACTGACAATAAATTAGGTTTGTATGGTCCGAGAGCTGGATCAGTATTGTCGAACAGAGGCTAATCTAGAGGTGCTGGTAGCAATTAAGAGGAGGAATCTTTTGTTAATGATGAAAATACCAATGCAAATAAGAAACTTAGCATTAATAATACAAGCAAATCACAAAGCACATTATTACCAAGGTCAATGATGGGTACTGTTGCTGCTGGCGGGCCTAAAAATTCAAAATTACCACCAGTGAGTGGAGGTGCTAATATGAGACCAAGAAATTTAAAGACAGCTGGTGGTGGACCAGCAAGTGCAATGAAAAGCAGGAATACTAACAATCAAAGTCTTATTGAAGATCAAGTACCAACTGTAAGAGGCACAGGGGGTTATAATAACAATAGACCAACTACGACAAATAATCTTGCTTCACCAGAAAAAGTAAAATTCAATGTAGCTAACTAATCAATGAATCAACAAACAAATAAAGAGTCAGTGTCCGAGTAATCTGATACTTAACAAATAATCATCGATGAAACCCATGATTAAAATAAAATTTACTGTTTCGGGGATAGCTAAGGCATTCTCCAATTCTCTATTGGCACAATGCAATGGTGGGTTGTAAACTTTGATAATAACTCTACCTATGATGGAACCCTTAAGTATATGAGCTCATGCTCAACAGTTGATAAGAAAATATATTTAAGTGGGGGATGCTTCACGACTAATGCCTATCCGAGTTCACTTTGTTTTGAAATAAACATAAAAGTATTGTCAAAACCAGTAAAGAAAAAGAATATGCTTTTGAAAAGATATGGCCACTGCACTGTCTTCATGAACGGTTATATGTATGCCATTGGTGGATTCAGTCATAAGGATATTCCAAATGAGTAGCCTGTCACTTTAGCATCTTGTGAAAAGTTTTCTGTACTAGAGAATGTTTGGTCTTATGTAAGTACTATGAACGAATCTAGATCCTTTGCCTCAGTCGTAGGACTAGAGAACTAATTCATCTATGCTTTTGGTGGTCTTCATGATTTCAATGTGCTCTAGACTATTGAAAAATATGACACTATAACTGATGCCTGGGTTTAACTCTACTTCAAGCTGCCAGTACCTTTGGCTAAGCTAGGAGCTGTAGTTATAGATAATAGAAGTGTGCTTATCTGTGGAGGTATGTCCTCAGATTATGAGCCGCAGAAGGCTTGTCATTTATTAGATCTTTAGAATATAAAATGGACAAAAAAGAAAAACATGAATGTGTCTAAGTTAGTTGCTAATGGTTTATTCTATTCAGGCGGATATGTGTTTGCAATTGGTGGTAATGGTGAAGGAGCTTGTGAAAGATATAATATTGATAAGGATACTTGGCAAAAGATACCATCCTTCGCAGGGAAAATATCAGGTGAAAACTCCCTATACACCTATACGTCTTGTATGATAAAATGAGAGTCTAATTATCAACCTTAACAAATATAATAATCTCTATAAGTAGGTTTTATTATCAGCATTCTAATTAATATTCTTAATTTCTTAATAAATTACAAATAATCGATTAGGGGTTTTGGGGTTTTGGGGAGATCGGAA